CTATTATCGATGGGCATTTGGGATGGTTCTAGGTCTTTGCTATCGTAAACAGTGCCACAATGAACATACTATAAAGCATGTGTCTTTATGATAGAATGATTTATAATCCTTTGGATATATACCCAGTAATGGGATTGCTGGGTCAAATGAAATTTCTATTTCTAGATCCTTGAGGAATTGCCACACTGTCTTCCACAATGGTTGAACTAATTTACACTCCCACCAGCAGTGTAAAAGTGTTCCTATTTCTCCACATCCTCTCCAGCATCTGTTGTCTCCAGATTTTTTAATGATTGACATTCTAACTGGCATAGATGGTAACTCAATGTGGTTTTGATTTGCATTTCTCTAATGATCAGGGATGATGAGCATTTTTTCATATGTTTGTTTGCCTTATAAATGTCTTCTTTTGAAAAGTATCTGTTCATATCCTTTGGCCATTTTTGAATGGTTTGTTTTTTTCTTGTAAATTTCTTTTAGTTTTTTGTAGATTCTGGATATTAGCCCTTTGTCAGATGGGTAGACTGCAAAAATTTTTTCCCATTCTGTTGGCTGCCGGTTCACTCTAATGATTGTTTCCTTTGCTGTGCAGAAGCTGTGGAGTTTAATTAGATCCCATTTGTCTATTTTGGCGTTTGTTGCCAATGCTTTTGGTGTTTTAGTCATGAAGTCCTTGTCCATGCTGATGTTCTGAATGGTTTTGCCTAGGTTTTGTTCTAGGGTTTTTAAGGTGTTAAGTCTTACGTTTAAGTCTTTAATCCACCTGGAGTTAATTTTAGTGTAAGGTGTCAGGAAGGGGTCCAGTTTCTGCTTTCTGCACATGGCTAGCCAGTTTTCCCAACACCATTTATTAAACAAGGAATCCTTTCCCCATTGCTTGTTTTTGCCAGGTTTGTCAAAGATCAGATGGTTTTAGATGTGTAGCATTGCCACCGAGTCCTCAGTCCTGTTCCATTAGTCTATGTCTCTGTTTTGGTATCAGTACCATACTGTTTTGATTACTGTAGCCTTGTAGTATTGTTTGAAGTCAGGTAGTGTGATGCCTCCAGCTTTGTTCTTTTTGCTTAGAATTGTCTTGGCTATGCAGGCTATATTTTGGTTCCATATGAAGTTTAAGGTGGTTTATTCCAATTCTGTGAAGATGGTCATAGGTAGCTTGATGGGGACAGCATTGAATCTATAAATTACTTTGGGAAGTATGGCCATTTTCACAATGTTGATTCTTCCTAACTATGAGCATGGAATATGTTTGTGTCCTCTCTTACTTCCTTGAGCGGTGGCTTGTTAGTTCTCCTTGCAGAGGTCCTTTACATTCTTTGTTAGTTGTATCCCGAGGTATTTTATTCTCTTTGGAGCAATTGTGAATGGTAGTTCGTTCTTGATTTGGCTCTCTTTAAGTCTGTTATTGGTGTATAGGAATTCTAGTGATTTCTGCACATTGATTTTGTATCCTAAGACTTTGCTGAAATTACTTATCAGTTTAAGGAGATTCTGGGCTGAGACAATGGGGTCTTCAAAATACACAATCATGTCGTCTGCAAATAGAGACAATTTGACTTCCTCCTTTCCTAATTCAATATCCTTTATTTCTTTTTCTTACCTGACTGCTCTAGCTCTAGCTAGAATTTCCAATACTATATTGTCTAGTGCCAGATTTCAAAGGGAATGCTTCCAGTTTTGCCCATTCAGTATGATATTGGCTGTGGGTTTGTCATGAATAGCTTTCATTATTTTGAGATATGTTCTGTTGATACCTAGTTTATTGAGAGTTTTTAGCATAAAGGGCTGTTGAATTTTGTCTAAGGCCTTCTCTGCATCTGTTGAGATAATCATGTGGTTTTTGTCTTTGGTTCTGTTTATGTGGTGTATTATGTTTATAAACTTGCGTATGTTGAACCATCCTTGCATCCCCGGGATGAAGGCTGACTTAAGAATCATTTTAAAATAACTTTTAATTATTCAGAGAAACGTCACACCTGCTATTTAAAAACTGATCTTGTCAATGTAATCAACACTTACATTCTGAATAATAAAGTAAGAGTTTTACTTATCAGTCTCAGCTCAAACTGTACATTAAAAAGCTCTCTATTAAAAATGAGAGTACATTTATAACCTGGTTTACAACTATCTCAAGCTAATACACCTCATGAACTGTCATCCTGGTTTTACAGCTAATAAAACAATAGATTTCTGATATTACATTAAAATTGTTCATTGTTCCCTCAAGTTTACTAGTTAAAATAGGATATGATTAATTTGCAGCTTGAGACTCCTCTATGTGGATTAGAGGTCGTGCCATTATAAACCAGGAATAAGTAGAAAAACTGTCCACTCTCTCCTGTGATGGAATTCCCCTCTCTGAGGACACCATCCTATCCTTATACTTCATTCTTCCTTTCATTCTTTTGAGTGAGGTATTACGCTCAACAGCACACTGTGGTCCCTGTTTGTTTTGTTTCTCTGCCATTTGGATTCACTTTGCCTCCTTATTGGGTTTCAAAACCTTTGGCAATTGTTGCAATAACACCTCAGCAAGCACCACAGAACTCTGCTTTGTCCCACCCAACACTAGGTAAACCCAATCATTCGAGTTTTGTGCCCTCCTTTTCTAATGGGTTAGAGAAAAATGCAGTTGTGCCAGTTCTTTTCTGTCTCCTAGATGGTTCCCTATACTGATCCCACCAAGACTGTTCCATTACTCCTAAGCATCCAGACGCAGCATGATGTATGACCCAGCCTTTTTGCTACTGAGGAGATCCTTTCCTTTTCCTCTCCAGTGTTTCTCTGAACCTCTGCCCACCTTCTAGCTTCTCTCTTAACTCAGCTGGCTCTCATTTTTCTCGATTCCTTCTTTTCCTTCCTCACTCAGTTATTTCCCCTTCACGTCTCATGTCTTCAAATGCTCCTCATCACCTTTTAATGGATTTCTAAGATACTCACACGTCCACCAATCCTGAAACATGATCAACAACAACAAAACATCCTTCGCACCTGGTAAACCCAACACACCTTCTATTTTTATCTCACCATCAAAGTCGAAAGAGTAGTCCAGTGCTTACTTTAATGTCCTTAATTCTAATTCATGCCTTATTAATCATCCAGTGATATCATTCCCCATAACTGCACTCAAATCATTTTTTGGTTAAACCAGCTTTCCAAATTGCTAACTATCTTTATCTCACTCTTCATCTCCCTTGGTCTCAGTAGTATCAGATATTATTAACCAATCCCTTAGATTTTGAGACATTTCTCCTACATCATATAGCAAAGCAGGTCATTTAGCCAATATTCAATTTGCTTAAAGCAAATATGTAATTAAACAGACCAACCACCCTATGAAAAATAAAGAAAAAACTCAGCCAGCTAGAACATCACAGAGTCCTCAAAAGCCATTAGAACTAACCCATCCAGTATAAAACACTGTAAACTTCTTGATGCACTGAAACCCTGTCAACGGTACTGTAGGGCTTGACTGAATGTTGGCATCAAAAAGAGTCAAGGTGTAAATAAAACAAAGTTTTCATCAATCGATAATTTTAATGAATTGGCAGATCAAAACAGAGCTACAGAGTACTAGTTTGCTTCCTGTCTATCTGAATGTCCCTTCTAAATTTCTTTTGCTGGCTTAGTGTCCTCCACTCACCTGTTACATGTGGGGATTTTCTCTCTTCTATCCTCATTCTACATTCTTTTCCTTCAAAGTCTTCTCTACCCCCATCTCTTCAACTGTAACATCTCTGTGGATGACTTCTATATCTATACCATTAGCTTCTAAACAAAAACAAAACAAAAAAATCAAGTAACTAACAGATAATTCTCAGCATGGCTATCCCTTAACCTACATGAATCTTCTCCCTCTTCTCCTCCCTCTTTCATATCCCATCTCTTTAAAGTGACATCATCCTCCTCTTAATCACCTCAAGTAAATATCCTAGTCATCCTCCAACCCACCCTCTTCTTCAATCCCTAAAGGCAAATCACTGACTTCTGTTCATAGTACCTTCACAGTGTTTCTGCTTCCTTCAAGCCTTCTTCCTTCCACTGCTATTGCCTTTGTTCAGAGGACCATCATCTTCCCCTCTCAGGGAAGGTCACCATCTCCAGCTCAGCATAAATCCTGATCCACTAAATCAGTCATGGAAATACACTTTTCCTGAAAATCGTTAATTTAACTCCCGCACAGAAAAGTCCACTCCTCTTCCAATGTGCATACCAGGCCTACAGCCAAAGAGCTGATCTTGCCACCATCAAAACAAAGTCCATTAGCAAAGTGGGAAGGGTCAAGATGCGGACCTGGAGGATGTGAGTAACTGAATCCAGCAGTCCTGGAGTTGCCCTTTCTCTGAGCCTCTTGTTTTATGATGCAAATTTTCCTTATTGTTTAAGTAATCTGAAGCAGGGTTTCTCTTACTTGCAGCCAAAAGATGCTCTAACTGAATAGCCCCATGCGCCAGTGCACAGTCTTCTCACCAACTCACCTTTCTGGTTTCAGGCCTCCTGATAAATCTTTCTTCACAGTACTTTACTCTCAGAAGTACTATCCTGGGAGATGGGGACTGATCCTTGTGCCCAAAAGTCTGTGACCAGCGCTATGCGCTGCTGGCATTCCAAGACCTTTCAGGAGCAGCATTCAACACTCCATGCTCAAGAAACTCAGCTAGGGCTTCTAGGGCTTCAGCACAGCAGGGAGCTGGAGACCAGGCAGCTGCTGAACAGGCTGTAAAGGCCCCACGCCCCTAAGGGCAGAGGCGACCCCCATTTCTGGGTGCCAAGCCAAGGAGCTGCCAACGGGCTTTACACTCACGATTCTGGAGTCTACTTGAGGCACACATCTGCCCCAGGTCCCCTCACTAGGAGCTCCTCACTCGTGGGCCCCCTGCTATCCACTTCAACACTGGACTAGAGAGACCCTCAGCACCCAGCGTCTCCAGCTAAAGTGGTACGCGACCACTGGTCACAGGCACTTCCGGTGACGTCATGCCCACCCGGAAACGCCGCCTGCCTGATTCCACCTTGGGCTTCCTGGGACTGGCGGGAAACTTCCTACAGGTGGGGAGGCCCAAGATCCGAGTCCAGCAGCTACAGGACGCAACAAAAAATACAGAAAAACAGAGAAACCCGGGAAACTCTCTAAACATGGGCCCCGCCGTTCCTTGCAGCGGGGCATCTCTGCGCCGTCTCCACGGGCCTCTCCTCACCCTGGCTGAAGACAGGAACCAGGAGCGCCCGTCAGGTGAGCCGCAACCTTGAGCTTGGTACAACAGGAAGTTCCCTTCATTCGATCCCGAAGGACTTCCGGTAAAGACGTGGGTCCCAGTTGCGGGCCGAATCGCCTGGGTGCTCAGCGACACCGGAAGTCCAGCATCTCTTTTAGTTCAACGGACAGCAGCTTTTCTTCTCCCGATCGTTGCACTGTCAAGAGCTTTTGTATTTTTATTTTCTTTTATTTTGTCTGTATTTTATTTTTTAATGACAGAGTAAGTCAAGACTTTGTAAGGGAAAACTTCTCACTCCTCCCCCTGGAACCTACCCTCCCTGCAAGAATCCGGAATTACTGCTGACTGTTATAGATTCCCTTTTGTAAACGCTACAACGGAATGAAACAACATGATACGGGCAAAGTCCACTTTAACCGAAAGAACAACAGTCTGTTTCAGATTTTTATTTTTAAAAATTGGATCATGCCCTCACTGTTCCAAAACAAAGATGCAAAACAGAGTACAGAAGCACCTCCGCCATCTGACCCCAAACAACCTCCATCTCTCTCTACTCTCCCCATTCCTGTGGTCCTCAAGACCTCGCTAAAACCCATACCTACACCTCAACTCTTTGCTACTAAATGCATTTGCCCTTTTTGGCTGCCAAACTCTTTTTCTGTTTTTTTCCTTACATGGCATAATATAAAGTCAGTCTCTCCAATTTATTTCTAACCATTTCTTTCTTAGTGTCTCAACTACCCAAAATTCCATGATGTATGTACTGGACCTCTGCTAAATAATGGTCAAATAAAACCACTGCTGCTTCCTTTAAGTGAAGACAGACCACAAACAGCTACAAAACAATGGGATAAGGAGAACCGTACATGAGGTCTATAGGAAAAAGAACCACAAACAGCTACAAAACAATGGGATAAGGAGAACCGTACATGAGGTCTATAGGAAAAAGAAGAAAAGCAACAGACTAGGTGAGACACTAAAGTCAGAGAAGTTTCTCAGAGACAAACAGACATCCAAATTTAGCCTTGTAATCCACTAACAGACAAGATGGGAAGGGCATCCAAGACAGAAGGAACAGCACATACTGTCTCAAGAAGGCATGAAGCATCAACCTTTTAGGAAATTCAAAAGTTATGGATGATAAAAGGCATGTGAAAGAGGTGAAGAAGAGGTGCTCAGGGTAAGCAAAAGCAGTATAAAGATACTGCATGCCATGCTAAGGACTTCAGACTTTTATTTGTAGGTGGATGAAAACTTGCAGGATTTAATCTTGAGAATGATATAAGCAGATTTGTATTTTAGAATGCTCTTTACTCCCATAGAAAGAACTGATTGAAGCTAGGAATGCCCATTAGTCAGCTACTGCAGCAGTTGAGAAACAGTAGTAGAATAAAATGATAACTAAATGATATACTGACAAGACTAGGTGACCAGTTACATTCACAAAATTAGGGAGCATCACAGGGAGGATTCAAGTCTTCACATACCTCACATCCATACCATTAAGCAGTCCTGTTTTTGCAAACTTCAAAATTCATCCAAAACCTAATCATGTGTCAACTTCCCAAGAGTCAACACTCTCAATTCAAGCCACTATCATCCTTTATCTGGCTAACTGCAATAGCTTTCTAACTGGTTAACTTGCATGCATCTATAGTCTGGTCTCAATATAGCACCCTGTCAAAACATAAGGTAGATCAAGTTGCTGCTCTGCTCAAAACCCTCCAACATCCCATCATCTCACATGATAAAGACAAAGTCCTTACACAGGCCTGTTCCTCATGACCTCTTTGACCTTGAACAAACTAGATAGGCATCCACATCCTGGCCTTCTTCCTGGCTTGTGCCTTTGCCTGGAATAATCTTCTTTCTTCAGGTGTCTACATCACAACTCCTGCAAGCTATTGTTCAAAATGTCTCTGTCTCAAATGAGAGCTACATGGTATTTAATATTGTTGTCTCCCAGATCCCACTGTCCCAACTTCTGATCCTCCTCCTCACTCTGTTCTACATCATTTTGCCTGTGGCACTCTAACCTTTCAAACATCCTACATAATTTACTTTTATTTATTGGCTATTTCTTTTACTCAAATATATTAATTCACAAAGACAGGGCTCTTCTGTTTTGTTCACTGATGCATCACAAGCATCTAGAATAGCACCTGGTCAACAGTAGGTGGCTCAATAAATATTTAAATTAATGAATGTTTGAATAAATGAACCCAATACTTGGGGTCAGGAGAGAGTCATGGGAAGAATGGGTCAGGTATGTTTTCTGGAAATGACACCTAAGCTGAGCCTTAATGAGAAGAAATTAAGCAAGCAAGTAAGTGGTCTGGAATTTCCAGAGATGACAGCATGAGAAGACAGGAATGCAAAGAAGAGCAGAAGAATGGTGCCATGGACAGAATGTTTCCCAAAAAGTTCATATGCTGAAGCCCTGATCCCCAGTGCAGTGGTATTTGGAGGCGGGGTCCTTGGGAGGCAATTAGGTCATGAGGGTGGAGCCCTCCTTGACGGGGTCAGTACCCTCACAAAAGCTCAGAGAGATTAGTGGCCTTATAAGAAATGAGAGAGGATCTGTCTCTCAAAACATTTCTCTTGCAAGAAGGCAGCCATCTGACAACCAGGGAGAGGGCACTCCCCAGGAACTACAACAGCCAGCACCATGATCTCTGCCTTCCCAGCCCCTGGAACTGTGAGAAATAAAGGTTTAAAAGTCAGCCAGTCTGAGGTACTTGTTGAAGCAACCCGAACTCACTAAGACCAATAAGCATAAGCATTTTGCTTAAAAGTATGATAAACAGAACAAAACAATTTCTCATCATGTGTTTCTGAGGCTTTTAAAGTTTGAGAATTTTGCTTTATTCTGGCAGACAAAAGTGCTAAATCTTACTGGGCTGGGGACTAATATGTTCTGTTTGGCACAAAGGATGTGAGCAGCCCTAAACTGATCTCATATGTAAAGCAGAGTCAGTTGTTCTGAGGGGAGCATATGGACTCGAAGTCTAACAACAGGGTTTCTAGCTTTATTTCATTGACTTTCCACATAAACTTGCCACCAAATGTGATTTTAGTGATTTTCCTTATCTCTTTATCCAACCATATGCTTATTTGTACATTCAGTAACTATTTTTGAACACCCAAAACATGCTGGATTTTAGAAATCTAAGCATGACAAAAACATGGTCCCTGCCTTTTCCATAAGCAGATAGACAATAAGAACAGATGAAGATAAACAACACTAGTTATGCCTGACCCATCTATTTTCCAGGGCGTTTATGAAGCTTAAACAAACTTTTTGTTCTTGTTTTTGTTTTCAAAAATATATAGCTGTGTACAGAAGTAAAGTGCTAATATATGAAGGCAGATATGCATCATAACAGTACATTTCTCTATGTAGGCTGTTTTGAGTAGTCACTATGGAGCTTGATGAGGTATGTGGAAATACAGGGCTCAATAATCAAAAGTCAGTGAGTGAACTGTAACAAAAGCATTAATTTATAGTTAATGCAGGAGTAAGAAAACACAAACAATGGAAAAATAAAAACTACAGTGAGAGCATAAGTATACAGAAGGCTATGTTTTCAATCATGACAAGCATACGGTTTCCGTGTCAATTTAATAACAAAGGACTATTTCAAATTGAGTACATGTTTCCAAGGTACAGTTGCTCACATCAAATGATCTAATGATCAAGTCTAAATAAAATACATCTACCTATGTTTAAATGCAAAATGAAAACAACCAGTGAAATTTAAGTGGAAGATTGCTCAGAAAAAATACTGAATATAAAAATTACACTCAACTCAAAGGAAAAAAATAACTATATACCAAAAGAAATAACACGGATTCCAGAGTCACTGAAACAGATAAAAAACCAAAACACTTTTACTCTCTGGGGATTTTTATTGGCTTGTTTTTCAGTCATGACAAGTATAGATGGCCCTCTATTTATGAACTTTCATCTCCTGAAGTTCTTCATTTAGCTGTCCTTTTCAAATTGTTACACATTCAAAGATTAAAACTATATAAAAAATATATATTGAGAAGTCTCATTCCCACCAGACTTCTCCCCCAAATACACACAAGTATGTTTTCCTGTGTATCTTACCAGTAACTTGTGTGGCAAATTAACAACATTTTTGTAAATACAAGCAAAATACATCCATATGTGTGAACCACCAAGTACCAGCCTCCACAGTGGCATGATCGATGCAAAGCTTTTCTGAGCCAGCTGCTTGGGACAGGATTAGTCTGAATTTGCTGAGTGCCTACTGTGTGCCTACTGAGTGCCTACTGTGTGCCTTCTGTGTGCCTACTGAATGCCTACTGTGTGCCTGAGTGCCTACTGTGTGCCTACCTGAGTGCCTACTGTGTGCCAACTGTGTGCCTACTGAATGCCTACTGTGTGCCTACTGTGTGCCAGGCATTATACTCATCATTTTCCATGTACTAAGTCATTTGATCTTCAAAATAATCCAGATAAATTATTCTTACTGTCCTGACTTTACAGAAGAGGTAAGAGGAGTAAGAAGTGAGGTCACTTGCCAGACTTCACATAGCAAACGTGTACCTGAGCTATGTTTCAAAACAAATTAATGCGCCTACAGATACGGTTTAATGTGTATTCTCTACCATCTCTTCTGTCTTACTGCTTCTCCAAAGTTTACAAGTAAAACAGACAGTCTAGGAGGCCAAAAATGGCTTCCCAAAAGATACCCACATCAAGTCCCTGGAACCTGTAGAATATTGCCTTATGGCGAAAGATGAGAATATAGTTAAGTATCTGGAGAGGAGGCGTCTACCCTGTATTATCCAAGTAGGCCTGAAATGATACCACTTCAAACTATTCAAGCTATTCTACACAGCATTCCTTCTAATCAAGGCACTTACTTCACAGCAAACGAGGTATGACAATGGACCCACGATCATGGAATTCACTGTTCAAACCACGTCACCATTTCCTGAAGCAGCTGGTTTGACAGAAAAGAATGGTATTTGAAGTCTCAGTAGCAGGTAGGTGAGTTATCTTGCAGGGCTGGGGCAATGTCCTGTGGGAGACTGTTTATGTCCTAAGCTGGTATCTAATATATGATACTGTTTCTCCCATAGCCAGGATTCATGGGGCCAGGAATCAAGGATAGGGAGGAATAGGAATGACACCCCTTAATATTATTCCTGGTGATTTACCACTAAAATGTTCACTTCCTGTTCCCACAACCTTAGGCTCTGCTGGTCCTTAGCTTCAAAGGGAGGAATGTTTCTACCAGAAGACACAATGGCTCTACTGAACTGGAAGGTGAGACTGCCACCCAGCCATTTGGGCTCCTCACACCTCTAAACCAATAGGCAAAGTACTGGCTGGGGTGACTGGTCCTCACCGCCAAGAGGAAGTGGAGCCGCTACTATCGCGTAGTCTGGTTCCAGGCCCAAATCCTCTGTGTGATCTTTCAGGTCCAATATAAGCAGTTACAAAGTTGTGCCTGGCAGCCCTCATGGAGAAAAGCTGAGCCCACCATGCACAGTCAGTGCCCTGCAGTTTTCCAGAAGGAGTTGCAGTTGAGGACTCACGCTTCCCTGACCCCTGGGCCAGCCGTGCTCATACACACACCTTCCTTCCTTGTCCAGGCACCTACATTCAGCAGCCTTTTTACTTGGGGCCCAGAGGAGGTACTTTTCTCCCCTGTGATTCAGTACTTTCCCATACCTAGCCCTTCCCCCAGCCAAAGGCTCATAAAGAAGCAGGAGCCTTTTGTTTGGGACTTCCCAGCAGTGAAAGGTACCCCTCATCTGAGCGGATCCACCTGACTCTCACCCGCTGCCATTCTGAAGGTGCGGCCAGCACCTCTGAGGAGTCAGCACCATTTTGTGCCTCTTGCTTATACTGTTCCAGGAAGTGAACAAAGGCTTACTTATTTCTTTTGGTTTGGCCCCTTGTCCTAATCAACCACCTGGACACTTGGTTGCTTTTCAGTTACACAAAGGAGGTTAGGAAGAGTATGTCTGGAATGCAGAATACCCCTTAGGGCATCTGCCACCATGCCCTGTGACTGAAGTCAATGGAAAACCAACAACCCCATTCAGGCAGGACTGTTAATGACCCAGGCCCCTCAGAAATCACCCTACAGGCAAACAACCCTGACCAGCAGGCTGTGGTGCTCCCAGAGGGCAAAGGGAATACAGATTGAGTAACAGAAAAAGTAGCTACACATACCAGTTAGGACCAGGCAGTCAGTTTCAGAAACAAGGGCTGTAATGGTTATGAATATTTCTCATTTTGTTATGAGTATGTGGGTGTATAAATTTTTAAGCAATTATCTTTGCATTCTTCCTGCTCTTATCCCTTATCATCTAACATAAGATGTATAAATAACAGTTAACTTTACATCATAGTATATAAGTTTCAGGATGTTAAGGAAAGTAGTGATCACCAACCAGGAACTTCTGCATCCTCTCGGGAAAGGGTTAACACATTTTTGGTTGTAAGAAAGATAGCTGCATCATGTCCCATGGAAGTATGACTCTGTAGTTGCCTTTATTTGGAGATTAGTCACAGTTTAAGGAGAAGTACATGAGTGCCAAGTTTACGGGGGTGATGACCGGTTTTATGTGGGAACTTGACTAGTCTAATATTCCCAGTTACTCATTCAAACACTCATCAAGGGGTTGCCATGAAGATATTTAGTAGGTATGATTAGCAATTACAGTCCATTGACTTTAAGGAAATGATCCTTGATAATCTGAGGGGCCCTATATGCAATCATGTATATCCTTTTAAGAGGAATTTTTGAGAGAGAAGTGCACAGAGGAGAAGGGGATGTGAAAATAGAGGCAGAGAATGGAATGATGCTGCCACAAGCCAAGGAATGCCTGGACTCTCCCTTCGAGCTTCTGGAGGGCGTGCAGCCCTGCCAGTGCCCTGATTCCAGACTGCTCCGGAATGATGAGAGAATGCACTTCTGTTGTTTTAAGCCACTAAGTTTGTGGCATTTGTTAGAGCAGCCATCAGAAACTAATAAAGGAACTTAATCATAAAACATAGTAAGAAAAGAAACTGTATCTGAGGCATACGAGCCTGCTATAAACTATCAGCCCCACAGAGGCATGAGAATGAGGCAGAAGTCACATCCTACTTCCCCCCATGAGCTAAGTAATCAGCTCTTGAAGCCGCTTGCTATGTGGACTCTAGACCGACTGCTGCCACCAGCAGTTAACCCGGGAAGGCTACACACTGGACACCATAGCCCATACCCCACAATTCACCAACGTACAGTCAATTACTAATCAATCTTATTTCTCTAACCACGGAGAATTCCTGACAAACAGCTGAATCAGCCCACTCCCTGTCCCTGTTCTTGCTTTGGAAAACCTGCTTCTAACAAAGGCTGAACAAAACTCATATCCAGTATTACCCAGGTCTGTCTTCCAGGCTGCTGCCCTCACCCTGGCTCAAGTAAACTTTTAAAAATTATATTCTGTGCCTCAACCTCCTCCTTCAGGTTAATAATGTAATGAGAATCAGATAATATTGCAGAAGAAGAATGAGACAGTACATGCTTCTATTAAATTACTGCACAAATAAAACTAGTTTTTGTGGGATTTTTTTTTTGAGATGGAGTTTCGTTCTATAGCCCAGGCTGGAGTGCAGTGGCGCAATCTCAGCTCACTGCAACCTCCACCTCCCTGGTCCTAGTTCAAGCAATTCTCCTGCCTCAGCCTCCCAAGTAGCTGGGCTTACAGGCACTAGCCACCATGCCCAGCTAATTTTTGTATTTTTTTAATAGATACAGGGTTTCACCTTGTTAGCCAGTCTGGTCTTGAACTCCTGACCTCATGATCCACCTGCCTCAGCCTCCCAAAGTGCTGGGATTATAGGCATTAGCCACGCATCTGGCCCAAACTAGTTTTAAAATTAATTCTTATTCAGATGCCAAATGTTAAAATGTCCTCCCTCCCCTTTGCCCAAAATATGAAACCCATAACTCTTCAATATTCCCTTTCCCATTTCACCGTTTCCTCGGAGATCTGACCAGGTGTGGCAAATAGTTATGTCCCAGAAGAAAACCGATACTATAAATTAAAAGGCCTAAAACAAGGAAAGCAAACCTCTAATTTAAAATGTTAATAATATCCACCAGGATCAAATGATAGTTTAAACCCCTGAAGCTACATAGAAATCATATTCTACACCACACTACCATACTGTAGTTTACTAGGAAAACTGCAAGTAAGGTCTAGAAAGTCACCAAAATACATGATTCTTAATATTTTAAGTGGCTTTTCTTAAGAATATCGGTTGACTTCAGAGGTTGAAATACCAATTTGCTTCCTTTATTTAAAATTTGAGAAATACCTAATGTAGATGACGGGTTGATAGGTGCAGCATATCACCATGGCACGTGTATACCCATGTAACAAACCTGCACGTTCTGCACATGTACCCCAGAAGTATAATTAAAAAACAAAAAGAACCTTGAGAGGAAGACAGCATCTAGAACTCGGTAATGTTATCTGCAGCAGTGTTTCTTACATAGGTCTTTTATATTTGCCCTGGAAAAAAACAATGCTGAGCTAATGACAAAAGACAATCTTGGGGGACTTTGTTGTAAAATCTGAGGGCAGAGAATCAGCATGCAAGACTTCAAGTGGCAGCCCCTTTGGAATCAGCTCCTCACACACTGTTGGGGTCCATTCAAGTTCTGAGGAATGGAATTCCAATACTACCATGCCAGCCACCGTGGAAGGCGAGCAACTCTAAAGGATGAGAGGAGGGGAAGTGGGAAAGGAAAGAGCAGAAGGGCGAATAGAAGCTGAGTTTCTGGAGGGCAGGGATTTTGTCCTATTTGCTCTCGTCCTATCACGTGCATGTGGAACAGAGAAGACCGTAAATATCTGTGGAGCAGGTCAATCCCTAGAAGATGCAGGTGGAGGAATGAAAGAATGAAGTAAAGACGGGAGGAACATAAACTTTTTGGAAGTATATAGGGCAGAAAGCAATTAGAATAATTCTAGGAGAAAGTTACATCCCAAAACCCAGCCCTCAAATTGAAATTTAATATGGGTCTCATCCACAGCAGCAATTTAAGGAAAACAAAATGAGTCATTTCCTTAGGTCTTGAGTCCTAGACGGGGGTAAGTTATTTTTTGCTGTAAAATTTTAGCGTGTATTCCCTGAACAGACAAAGCAATTTCTCACTTAATTTACTGTTTCATCTTACTAACACTAGTACGACCGATAGAAAATTTAATTATTGCATGTTTCATTAAGTGAAAAGTAGAAGAAACCTAGCAATTGGCAAATTCCAGACCCACCCAGTATTTGGAGGATTTCTCTAAATGTCAGATATGAATTATTTTTTTCCTATTTACCTGATTGATACGATAGAAGAACTAAGGTATAAAGACGGTAGGAAATTATTGTTCGAAAAAACAATGCAACACATAATTTTCCTATGTCTTCCAGGAAAGAACAACCATTATTTGTGGCCTTTTAAAATTCAAGCTGTAAACCATGAGGTTAAATGAGGTTAAACACCTCATAAAGATCCCTGCACACAGAAACATTCAGAAAACATTGCTGACAGATGACTGTCATTGGTACGGAGGGCTCGGAGATCCAGCAACCGAAACCCAGATTCACTACAATGCTTGCTTTACATTTTGCTTTTGTTACCACGCCTATAAATCTAGATGATACTATTTTATTTTAACTCGTATTAGCCTTTATATTTTTCTTATCATCGATAAGAAAGGTATCTTCTGTTCTTAAGGTAATTTATAATGCTGGTAAATACCACTCTAAAAAATTTAAGTATTTATAACTATATGTCTATACCTTTCAAACTAAGTTATTCTTAAAATTGTCCCTGGGTGAGAATTTTCTCCTTCCCCATGTTAATATTAGAAAACAATTATCTTGGGGGTGGGTTTTATGATTTTACTATGTCCCCTGCTATCAAGTCAGTACTTTCAGATATATTCCATTAAAAGGGGGGAACAAACCTATATTATTCTCCCATTTTAAGAAAATAATATGTTATAGTTCATAAAATCCACATCTGAAATACTAGTACAGTAAAGAAAACATAGGTTCTAGGAGCAAACAGATGTGAGCTTGAATCTCTAATCCACAACTTACAAATATAACCGCTCTATGGACAATTTCCCCATCTACACTATGCAGTTCTTTTAAATGTCAAATGAGGTAATGAATGTTAAGACTCTAGCATCGCCCTAATACACAGGAAGTACTCAACAAATATTGAAAACAAATATTCATAAAAGTCTCTTTAAGTATCTTTGTTTTTCTTTTTTTTTTCTTTTTGAGACGGAGTTTCGCTCTTGTTACCCAGGCTGGAGTGCAATGGCGCGATCTCGGCTCACCGCAACCTCCGCCTCCTGGGTTCAGGCAATTCTCCTGCCTCAGCCTCCTGAGTAGCTGGGATTACAGGCACGCACCACCATGCCCAGCTAATTTTCTGTATTTTAAGTAGAGACGGGGTTTCACCATGTTGAATATTCTACCACCCAATGAAAGCATTAAGAAACCAGTTCTTTCCAAATCAGCCATGGTCAGAAACGTAACATATTTAACACAGATTAATAAACTGCCAACATATACAAACTCACTTGCACCTGTCTGCACAAACTGCTGAAGTCCACAAACTAAAACTTTCATCAATTGCAAACATACAGAGCGTGCAAAATATCACAGGCCTTTAGATAGCTTCCCATTCTGTGTACAGGCGAGGTACAGGGAAAAGGTTAATTGAGTAGAAGGACTTGAAATGACAATGAATATCAGCTGAATAAGGTCCCATGTCACCCGCTCTATGTTCACTATGGCACTCGGCATGCAGGACCTCCACATACATGTGGAATAAATATGAAATTTCCCCAATTTTAGTTGTTCTTTTCAAGTTTTATTACTTTATATTTAAAATGCATTGGTTAAAACTTAAGAAAAATGTTTTACTTATTATTTACCTTAGCTTTAAGTAAAATAAAGACCATCGAAAATGAAAATGAACACTAGAACCTTTCTTTAAACTTTGAAAATAAGTTAATATTTTCTCAGGCTGGTTTGTGAGTACATAGGTACTCCTTTATTCACGTTTTAAATTAATTCCATGTATCCTCAGACACATAACAGTCCCTGCCATAGAGACTGTTTGTTTTTTAATAGAAGAAAAGAGGCCTTGCTGGAGAAAGGGGAGAAAGGCAAATGGATGTCTGGGGAAAATTATAAATTTGAAAAAATGTCACAGACTGACATTTTCTATATTCCAAGCTAAAGAACTTATCTGCGATATGGTATGAACTGCAGGTTAAGTAACAAGTTAGAGCAAGGGAATAGATTGTAAACAAGTCTAACCAACCAGCTGCTAAAAAAAAAAAAGAAGAAAGAAAAATTCAGATATATTTAAAACTCTACCTTTAGGTATAAATTTCATTTAAAGAAAAGGTTTACAGTGTTAAGAAAAATACTTCAGAAGGTAAATTGTTAAGTTTAAGTATGCATACTTTATTATTTCAGTTTTTATGACAAACATAAAAAGTATACAGGACAATAGATACTTCTGAATGTCACTTGAAGAATTTGGATTTTCAGTTGTACACATCTGAGATTGAGGAAAATTACTGGAAAATACATTTCAATAGTGTTTATAAAAACTAGAAGAGGTTCAGAGATAGAATATAGAGAGCAGGTTTATGATTTACAAGAAAGTAGTCATAAATCATAAATCGGAGCTAATACTCATTGGGTATTCATGTTTTCCACAAAAATTTTATAAGGTAAGAATTATTATTCCCTCCATTTTACAGAAGATGAAAGTGAAGCAGAGAGAGGTTAAGCATCTGGTCACACAGCTAGGCTGTGGCAAAGCTCAATTAAAACCCAGGCGTCTGCTTCTGGAGTCCCACTTGCAGTCACAAGAGTAGAAATACATACTGAATCAAATTAAACCATAATGCAAATTCATAGCAAACATAAAGAGTATATGCTTTTATTTTATTTTATTTTATTTTATTTTATTTTATTTTATTTTTTTTGAGACGGAGTTTCGCTCTTGTTACCCAGGCTGGAGTGCAATGGCATGATCTCGGCTCACCGCAACCTCCGCCCCCTGGGTTCAGGCAATTCTCCTGCCTCAGCCTCCTGAGTAGCTGGGATTACAGGCACGCGCCACAACGCCCAGCTAATTTTTTGTATTTTTAGTAGAGACGGGGTTTCACCATGTTGACCAGGATGGGCTCGATCTCTTGACCTCGTGATCCACCCGCCTCGGCCTCCCAAAGTGCTGAGATTACAGGCGTGAGCCACCGTGCCCGGCCTATGCTTTTATTTTTAACCCAGCAAACACCTTTTGAGTGCTGATTATGCGCCAGGTGCAAAACTGTAGCCTCCTTTTTAATTTGAGTAATGTTAAATTTACAATCTGTTTTGAGTAGACATTAAAAATGGCTTAAGTCAAAGAAATATTTTTTTTAAATAAAGTTTAGGCACTTAATTACAACAACCATGGTGACATCATATATTTGTATGTAATTTCCCCTCAGCTAACAAAATATTTAAATCAAAATAAATTAGAAAATGAGACAGAGTTGCTTTGCCCAGATACTTTCTCATTGTATTATATTAGTCATTTGGATTACAAGAAAAGCAAAGCAAGAAAAGAGGTATTTTTATTGGGAAAAAAAGGAGGAGCAGAGGGTAGTGCGAAAGACAGGAAATCAGAAGATCATGTGTAATTCATTGAAAATTTAATAACATGGAGAAAAAAGAATTGTGTTGCCACCATATCTGTAAGTCTTAATAGCCAGCACAAAGGGGGCTTTTCTTTCACAGCAAAAAAAAAAAAAAAAAAAAGTAGCCACATGGATTTCAAGCATTTTCTCTGACAAGTATTTTCACTGTGCCTCTGTTATTCCCTGAAGACAGAACTGGAATGAGCTTTCAGGTTTGCACTTGGAATAAAGTTAGCCTGACTGTATAGTTGGTGTCCATATAGAAGTTTGTTGACTGCTTTGTTTGCTTTGCTGTACTCTGCTCTGCTGCTGTCAAATCTGTCAGGCCTGGCTGCCATCTCCCATCCCAAACCCAAGTTTCCCAATAAAAAGAAGCACAGCTGTATGGAATGGGTCACCAGAGATTTGAACCTCCACGAGCATTACTCATCTGGTCCCGCCCTGCTCTGCAGTCTTGGCCAAAAGGCAATGTCCAGTTCACCTCCTACTTGGGACACCCAAAATAAAGAGCTCAAACAACTCTTCTAAACATCCTTTTTTTTCTTCATCTTTAAAAATAAAAGTTAAAGAAGCTGTTGAATGTATTTTAGCCCAATATAAATTAAGGATATAGTCTACCTAACGTTGCCTCAAATGGGGTTTTATGCTGCTTACAAGAAGAAAGAAACCTAAGAATCCATAAAGCTGACCAATTCATTCAACAGTGCTTTTTATTTAAAGGCTCTATTATATGTCCATCCCAGAAAGAATAAATATCCATTTTAAAACACAAATAGACAGAAAAGTAACACTTCCTGTAACACTGGTTTTAATTCAAATCCTTACATTTTTATGATAAACTGAGAAGTTCAAAATGTGCTAAGCTGGATGCATCAGGATACCTGACTTCAATCTATACTACAAGGCTACAGTAACCAAAACAGCATAGTACTGTTACCAAAACAGAGATATAGACCAATGAAACAGAACAGAGGCCTCAGAAATAATGCCACAGATCTACAACCATCTGATCTTTGCAAACCTGACAAAACAAGCAATGGGGAAAGGATTCCCTAATTTAATAAATGGTGTTAGGAAAACTGGCTATCCATATGCAGAAAACTGAAACTGGACCCCTTCCTTACACCTTACACAAAAATTAACTCGAGATGGATTAAAGACTTAAATATAAAACCTAAAACCATAAGAACCCTAGAAAAAAACCTAGGCAATACCATTCAGGACATAGGCATGGGCAAAGACTTTATGACTAAAACACCAGAAATAGTGGCAAAAGAAAAAGCCAAAATTGACAAATGGGACCTAATTAAACTAAAGAGCTTCTGCACAGCAAAGGAAACCATCATCAGAGTGAACAGGCAAACTACAGAATGGGAGAACAGTTTTGCAATATATCCATCTGACAAGAAGCTAATATCTAAAATCTACAAAGAACTTAAACAAATTTACAAGAAAAAAAAAACAACCACATCAAAAAGTGGGTGAAGGATATGAACCAACATTTCTCAAAAGAAGACATTTAGGCAGCCAACAAGCATGAAAACAGAAGCTCATCGTCACTGGTCATTAGAGAAATGCGAATCAAAACCACATTGAGACACCACCTCACATCAGTTAGAATGGCGACCTTTAAAAAGTCAGGAAACGACAGATGCTGGAGAGGATGTGGAGAAATAGGAACACTTTTACACTGTTGGTGGGAGTGTAAATTAGTTCAACCATTGTGGTAGACAGTGTGGCGATTCCTCAAGGACCTAGAAATAGAAATTCCATTTGACCCAGTAATCCCATTACTGGGTATGTACCCAAAGGATTATAAATCATTCTACTATAAAGACACATTCACTTGTATGTTTACTACAGCACTGTTCACAATAGCAAAGACTTAGAACCAACCCAAATGTCCATCAGTGATAGACTGGATAAAGAAAATG